CAGGGCATCAACGCCTTCGTGCAGCAGGCGGGGATTACCCGCATGGTTTGGCCAGCCAACAGTCCAGACCTCAATCCTATTGAACAGTTGTGGGCTGAGCTCGGTCGGAGAGTTCGGGAGAACCACCCTTTGCCCGCCAACCAACAACAGCTGTTTGGATGGCTGCAACAAGAATGGAACAACATTCTCCGGGCCTTTCTGACATGCCTGATCAACTCTATGCGCCAGCGATGCCTTGACTGCCTTGCCGGGAATGGGGTGGGCTCACTCGCTTCCGATAATTCCATTGACATCCACGGACTTAAACTGGTCGTTTTCTTTGACATTGCTGAGACTTTTTTAGACCCTTTCTTTTGTGACTTTCGATTGTGAGGGTGGGTCCATTTTGAGCGCTGGGAATTACGCATTTCGGTTTCGATTGCAATGAAATTTCTTGTTTGCACTTTAGGCATGGATTGATGAATTAAATAATGTATGTCAAAGAAGGAATAATTTGATTTGCTGGTTTTTATTTTACGAGCAATTTTGCTTAGTGCTCCTAAACTTTTTGTGAAGACTGAACGTGTAGGGGGCCTAAATTGCAAGCAAATCGTCACTGTCAGTACACTCGCTGCGGTTAAACCACGCGTGATGTGGATGACGCCTGGTTGGATCGTACATGTGAATGGCTCTTAAGGTGTACAGAGTGTGTGGCTTTGAGTACTCACGGCTGGGTGGATCTTTGTGTCTGGTCACCACTGAACATTACGAACGACGCGTTGAAATGTGTCGAGTAAAAAAAAAGACATATTTTAAAGTACTGTTTCTCAGAATTTCAGAACCTTACATTATTACAAATATTTTTTAAACTCTTTAAAACTTAAAAGAAAAGAAATACTGTTTAAATGTTAAAGGGGGGGAAAGATTAGATTTTAAAAAGAAAAGGAAGGGAAAAAACCAACCAATCATTTCATGACTCTCTTTACAAGACAAGATACATGTACTTTAAATTGGTTCGTTTTGCATTTATAGGTGCTTTTCATAAAAACCATATCCGTTTTCGAAAACAAATTTTTCTTCATGAATTTTACGTCAAATTCCTTTTTGGGGGAATTAAATTATCTGGACCAAATTAAAACATTCTAGTACATGTACAAATTTTGCAAGAGACAGTCAGAAAAAGTTTGAGTGTCATGCGAACTGAAGTTTTAATATAGGCATAGATCGATACGTTGTTTGTTTGTTTATTTGTTTGTTGTTTTGTTGGTATAATCACCAATGGATTTTTTCCATTTCCAGAACCTAGCGTAATTTCTTTGTCATTTTGGGGTTTGTTTTTTTGGGTGGGGTTTTTTTTCGTTGTATTACTCATTATACGTAGTGGTCCCATTGAAGCACTACACATTTTTTGCTGATATCAAGAATTCCGCGGAGGTTCTCGTGGTCTGGAGGTTTCGTTGTTCGCCTTTCTTTTAAGTCCCGGGTTCTCTAAAAAAAATTCTCCGTAACTGTTTTCCCTCGTCTGCTTTCGTCTCCACTCTCTGCCCCCCTCCCCCTTCCCCATCTACTTTTGTCTTGCCCCTTCTATGGAATCCTGGCTCATTCTACTTTCTGCAGCCTTCCTACTGCTACTCCTTGGCTTCTTCTTACTGGTGTCTTTCAGCCACACCCTTTCTTGGGGTAGGTAAGATCTAACACCTAGCTTTCTCGGATATGGGCGAAAAAATCTCGGAGGTCCCGTTTGCAAGTTTCGCACGTTAAAGATCCCTTGGGGGTCCTAAATCGTTAAGAAGAGTAAGCTTCGGCCGCCACCCGGGCAGAATTCAAAATTAATTCCTACAGAATTGAATTAATGAGTCCCGCGCTTTCATATGACCTTGTGCAGTTGCCAGCGCCGTAAAACACTTACCAAAACAAAACGAAGAAATTTGCTTTTTAAGTTTCTAGAATTTGATACAGTGAAACTCTGCTACAACGAACTCGGATTCAACAAAACTCGGATTCAAAGAAATGGAATGGATTTCCTGCTTTTTAAAAATTCATTAAAATCAAAATTAACTCGGAATCAACGATCATTTAAAGGACCAAACTCGAATCTAACACTAACAATGTCAGATACAAGGCCATCAGCCCATCGAAGCTGTTTACTCTATCCCGAGGGACCATCGATAACAATACACCGTGAACCATTACAAGCTTAACCTTAACCTATTGCCTATATTCTACACCTAATGCCACCAGTCGGGAGTTTTTTCCCCCATCAACACGAGCGTTGTTGACACACGCAGAAGACATGACGTGTCGAGAGAGTGCCAGGAGGTTATGCTTTAGTAGAGGTTTTACGGCGCTCACAACTGCATAAGGTCATATGAGCGCCAGAATATTAGAGGTGTTACAAGAGATTAACAAACTTTACAAACATACAAAAGAACTTAAAAAGAAGGGGAGATAAGGACGATAGATATTTGATAGGAAAGAAGAAGCAAACCACACCAGAGCACCCGCCAACCACCCACCGAGAGAGGTAAGATGGGCGCCAGCACATTTGTGGCTGTGTACTGTAACTCAAGTAACTGTGTGTGTCTGGAGGATAGATGGGGATCTGGGAGGGGGGCGGCGGCATTCTGGACGTGGAAGGACAGAGAGGCAGCCGTGTCACAGTCATATACCCCCCCCTCTCCAGTTACTAAACAATGTTAGGCTGCCTAGACATAGACCTACGTAATGAAATGTGTGCTGGTCTTTGGAAACAACAACACAACTTGTAGTCCAATGGATAAAGTCATCCTTGCTCAAAGTCAACAATTTTTGTTCGGTGCCGAAGTGTTCATTTTATTAATCAGAATTCCACTGTAATTTGTTTTACTTGTAATAAAGGCGCTTTTCAAATTGACATGAGTCCCAATATTTTCCTTATTAGTAAGAAAGAGTGTAAACAATATTTTGCTTGAATGATTTACTGTTATTTTTTAGTGAATGTAAAAGTTGTTCCCGCATCCGATCCGGACATTGAGGATTGCCTTGTTAGTGAGACAATTTCCTGGGCCTTCTGCATATTATTGTGATAGGGTGGCCAGTACCTTTCCACACCGCCTTTACTTTCCCAACTCGAAGTCAGGTACCCATTACTGCTGAATGGGCAGGAGGGGGCCAACAAAAAAAAACAGTGTCCGAACAGAGGCTCTAACCGAGACTTTTCGCTTCGGAGACGAGTGCACTAACCGCTCCGCCAATGTACCCTACTCTAAGTGAATGTGGAACTGCATTTTTTTTTTAATATTATAATTTGCATGTACAGAGCTATGCATGTTTTTCATTAAGTGCGTAGAAAAATGATTTTAACACGGATTTGCACGGTATCAATTTCATATTATTAGCGAACAAAGTAATATTATTACGGGATTGGATGTAAGATAAGTGTAAAGGGTGGGGGGTGTCAAAAAGTCCCCAACAAGGTGTAAGATTATATTTGAACAGGCCCCAAGGACTCTCAAGCTTCAGATGTCACGAAACGTTAATGGCCTTTCCCTTACTAATTTTACCACTGAAACCAGGTGGTTTCATATGCAAATATCTCGACTTTACTTTAAATGAATATTTTTTTTCATCAAAAGACAGAAAAATGAACAAGCTTTATGATGTTACCAATACAAACGGTTTTTGAAAAGTTTTCTCGCATCTTTGCGAGTCTGCTCCCTCTGCAGACACAGATTTCTCCAACACTACAACACTACAACACTACAGGCCCAACATTTGAGAAGCTCTTCATGATTCCATTGTGTAATGACACATTTGCCATTCCTTGAGTGATATCTTTGTAATTTTTGGTTATCTTTTTACCTGAATAGTGGACGTGTTTAATACAATTGTAATTCCCCAATGTGTTCGATTTATCTAATAATAATAAATTGCATTTATATAGCGCATTTCCACAAAGAAGTGCTCAATGCGCTGTACAATAATACAAAGAACATATGAAGCGCACAGCTCCTATAGTAATCCTCTCTCTCTCTCTCTCTCACTAGTCTCACTCTCTCTCACTAGTCTCTCTCTCTCTCTCTCTCTCCCTCTCCCTCTCTCTCTCTCCAGTACATCCTTGAGTACAGACAATCCCACAAAGTTTACCCAGACACCCTCGCACACATCATCTGTGCCCAACTGTACTTCCAACCAAGTAAACACACACAACACAGCAGCAATATTCTAGTAAAGAAATAATTTAATGATATGCACAAAGAGGCAATGAAATTTGGAAAAAAAATATTCCTGAACATGGCATAATTTCAACCTTTTCCATAAAATATCCCATAAAGAAACATAGCCACAGGGCAACAACTGCAAGAAACATTAATTAAAACTAATAGATACATAC